CCCCAAAACCCCAAAACCCCAAAACCCCTTAACAATCAAAATATAAAATATTTTAAAAATGGAGAAAATTATTGTCAAAATGAAGAAGCGTAAAACCAAGCGTAAGAAGAACAGTTCACGCTTGCCGAGCATAACCAAAAAGTCTCGAACAAAGTACTATTCGCTCTAAATCCTAGGTTTAATACTTTCATCAGTACAAGTGCAGAAAGAGGTAAGGATGCCTTGACACATTAGAGCATTCTACCAAGAATACAGCTGAGAGTCATAGTAAAGCTTCCATTAAGCTGAAGAAAGGTAACTACAACAAATTTGTTGAGAGCTCAAAGAAAATAAAGAAGAAACCGGATAGGCCAGATATGTCTTTGTCTTTGAAACCCATGCACAAACGGTATTACTTATAGTATTTACTATAGTGCTGTCAGCCAAACTCAAGCAGTTCAGGTTTGAAGAGATCTAACTTGTTTCTGTAGATAACTCTAGATCCTTCCAAAACAACTAAATTAATGAGGAAAGCATCAAGTAAACCCGTGTTCGATCATAAGCAACAGAAAAAGCAAGATGGTGTAAAATAGAGGGCTAGTAAGACAGTTTATAACTTCTGCAGACCCTCATGAAGTTTGTTTCCAAACTGAAATCCAACCAGGCCAAGGCAGCCAGGAGCCGACTTCAAAATGGCCAGTTGAACGAGCAAGACTCAAAGAGTATTCTAACATCTGACTGTTGATAGACCAAATCCAGAGATTCAAGTTCAAAGAAATATTTGCAAAGGTTGACAAATAAAAAGCTTTTAGGTAATTCAACTTTGACATTTCTAGGTGAATGAAGCTATTGCTTTAGAAAAAAGTGCTTCAGGCTAGTAAATACTTGCTCACATGGAAGCTGATACACTGTAAGACATGAGATGAGACTTCTTATTTTTAGTGCACTCAATTCCTGCTGAACTTCAACAAGCATACTGGTCACAATGGTAGCTTTCAGCATAAAACTCTAGAAATGAGGTGATTATATTGACCAGAAAAAACTAAGAATGAACAGATGACTGAAGACAGGAAAATCACGAGGGAGTATCTCCATTACTGGTAAATTGTTTTGCTTAGCATGATAGATATGACAACCATGGGCCTGACTACACAGCTGAAGCTCCAGTTACCCAAAATAAGCTTGAAGTAGTTTTGAGACTTAATCATTCAGGATACAAAAGATGTTTCACAAAACCTTCTCAACCCTGAAACAGGTATCTTTGATGTGTAAATTCTAGAATTTTGTGACCACCATGTTGACAAGAAGAACCATTATTGTATTGATTGAAGCATGCATTTGTGCTACAGATGACTTAAAGTATCTGTTCTAGTCATTTCTAGATAAAATAATCCTCATTCGAATCATAAAGTGTACTCGATTGAAGACCTTAATATTAAGGTTGAGCACTGAAATTTCAAGTCAATTTATGGTAGTCCCTTTATTTGACCTCTAGAGCCTAAGATGGATGATTTGGTTATTCAACTTGAAGCGAGTAAGCCATATTCATGACTAATAATATAGCTACAACATCACTATCACACCAAAAAGATTTGTATCTTAAATAAGATTGAGACTGATTTTGAACTTCTGAAGAAGATAATTGAGAGTAAGATTTTATATAACCCCGATAGTCAAGAAGGAAAAAATTCTCACTGAAGTGTCCCAATGCTATGACTCCTCTATTGAGAAGGCAAAAGGCATGGTAGAAGCTTTAAAGCTGCTTAAATAAGCGATCTAATTTCATGGAGAAGCTCTCAAAACACTCCTGTATGTGTTGTCTTAACTCTAAATAGTGGAGGAGCAAGCCATTATAAAACGTTATAAGACTAATAATCTGTTCCAAATCATAAGAAGCGTTGTGAAAAGATCTGAGCTGAATAGTATAGATCAGGTTGATTTGACAGAAAGTCTCCTTTTGTTAGATCCTAATACCCTGAGCGACGGTAAGGAGAGCATCTAAGCATAGTCCACCGGATCATTGACGATATTAAATTTGCTCCAATTTCACAGACCTATCTCAGTAAAATCAGAGGTACTAGCATCAACGATTTATAGAGTTATTCACAAAATCAAGTATTTTAAAAGAGAGTCTCATAACTCCTGAGTTTGCAGCAATGCTTCCCAAACTACGCTCTAGTGAGCGCTTATTCCAACTGACCAGAGATGGGCCCAACCCATTTATATTTCATGAGAAGTGAGATAACAAAGGACAGACAATTGTTTTAGGTAATATTGAGTTCTTGCATATATTTTACAAGCAAGTAAAATCAGATCAAAAGCTTGAAGCCTCCCACTCTATTGCATAAATTAGTAACTATAGTGATAGTGATCTTTGGAATAAAGTATTCGTGTTAAGAAGTTCTCCTTCAGGAATTTTTAACTAAGGAAACTTCTTGAACCTTAAAGTAGTCGGATCTATTGATTTCTCTATCTTAGCAATAGATATAAATAACACTAAGCGGGATTTCTTTATGATGCTTTAATACTCCTATCTAAATTTTACCTGTAGTCAAACTGCTGGACGGACACATCTTTGGCGGTTACAACCCAACGAGTTGGATAAGTGAGTATGTGTATTCTAAGTGTGAAGGTACTTCTCATCTAATCTCTAGATGCCTTCCTCTTCTCTCTGACTAATGGAAAAGGCCGTAAATGAATTAAATGTCCCATTGAACGGCACAAATCGGACAAAGCTATAAAGCAGAATAAGACTAAGTATAGTCCTGGATTTGGGGAAGCTAATAACAGCGATCTCTTCATTGCTTTCAGGAAGCTGGATAACAGCTATAGCAGGCTCGGTAATGTTTATACGATTCCTCAACTTTTCTAGCAGGTAGTGAAACAGGCTGGGATATTGTGGAAGTTGAGGTCTGGAGCATCGGATAACTGAGATATAAAGTTTCATTTTCAGTTATAGGGAGTATCTTGGGGTTTTGGGGTTTTGGGGTTTTGGGG